TATACTGCCTGAAACCATAACGACCCTTAATTGCTGCAAGATGTTCATCGATCGTCATGTGTTCAGATAGTGTGTAAATTGCTTGACAATTGCCCACAAATCTTTCGAACCATGAGCAGATGGTTTCTTTGTGATTTTATTATCAAACCTTAAGCAATTTTGAAGAAAACCAAATCTCCTCAGTGTCACCATTATTCTACAAACCTCAAGCTCACACCCATCATTTTTCCATAAGTATTTTACATTCCTGTGATTACCATGAGACAGCCCTGGTAAGTACAGCAGACCTATGAATGCTTTTGGTTCAGCTAGTGAGATGTCATAATAAATAGTTTTTTTAGTATAGCTATGGGTGCACAAAGAACATTTATTTGTATTTCAGCATTTGTGTATTTCACATCTTGTTGCATTTCATTTGTTACAAACAATTCCAGCATTGAATGGCAGTGCTGGCATTCTGTCCAACAGGTTTCACCCGTGCCATGATCCTCACTATATTTTCAGACCTAGTTTTAACATTGAAGGGTTTCATTTGGTTGTGTGACTATTTTGTACCATTTCTACCAGTCAAATATGTTCTCACATGGCTGTTTGTTTCATCATCTGAAATAAGGAGCTCTGCATTCCCTGTGTCTGTATCAGTTGATTTTTGTTTTATTTCACTGTCACAGGAACTTTGGCTCACATGGCCAGTGTCAAAGTCATTATCATCTTCATCATTCATGAATGAGCGATCTGATGATTCACTTTTGACCTCCTCCAAAACTTGCAAATCTGGTTCTTCATGTGCCATTGTTTTGAAATGGGCTACTTCTACCGGAAAAATCAAAATAAAATTGGATGCAACTTGAGACCATACTCATAAGTGAAATAAATCAGACACGCATGTGCAAACGTTGTATTGTCTCACTAGTGTGAGAAGATGAAAGAAAATATATGTGTAAAAGATAGCTATACTACTGATTTCTCTGAACTCGTTAAAGAGAAAGATTTGTGTTGGTATTGTTTGGACAATTAAATGCAGATGTCTTGTACTCTGTGTAACTGATTTGAAGATAACAATATGCAATGTGTATACCATTGTTACCCCCAATTATTGTGCTTTGAAATTTTGCTTTAATTTTTTGTCTTTAAAATAAACTAAAATTTTAAAAATGCTAATTTTTGCCCAGAAATTTAGCAATGAGCATTTCACGGGTAAAACTCACCAGTTGCTACTTTGGTTCTTCTGTACACACTTTGCCTTTCATCTACTAAGTAGGTGAATGAACAGATGTGTCTTTGCTTTCCCCAGGTTCAGCTACCGTAAGTCACACCTACATTCCACTTACGTAAAATACATATTTACAGAACAGAAGTGTGTTGTCAGTGTGATGCTCAAGTAAAAAAAAAAGCAAAACCTGTTAGATGGAGCATTATGTGAGTAAAAGTCATTGTTTGGTACTTTTGCACACATGCATGCTCCTTGCTGTTCATCACATCAAGTGGGTAAACATGAAGATTGCTTCTTGTAGCCACCAGCCACAGCTGCTGAGATGAACAGATGGCTACTATTAAGCTGAAGTACAAATTTATAGTAGAAAGCTATGTGATAGGTTGTAGCTCAATGTTATTCCCCATAGAGCATGACTTAGTGAGACTCAGTCTCAAAATAAAAAAATCTTTTTAAAAGGACAGGGGGTGTAGGTCAGTTAGTGCAAAGACCCTGGGTTCAATCTCCACTACCACAAAACAAGAAAGAAAGAAAGTTTGACTTTATTTCCATCTGTTGCTTGCTCATCAGTATTTTCCAGTCACCCAGGGAGGGTTTTGAGTCACGTTCTTTCCTCTCAGACTTTATATCTAAATCATCAGATTCAAAACAGCTCCACTGGGCCCATCTTCAGCACTGCCAGGGAGCCAGTCTCCCTTTCACAACTAGTTCTGCACGCATTGGATCCCTGAGAATCTCGCTTGTATTTTTTTGGCTCATTGCATAATAAAAGACAGATACACATAGTTATACACAGGCTCAACAACACACATGTTCTCCATTGTTCCTTCACAATCGAACTGAAATCTCCCCCTGCTGCCAAGTTTATATTCTAATAGGAAGAAAAGGAATGATTTGCTTAAAACCAAAATGAATCAGCCCGTGTCAGACAGGACTCTACTGTGACGCCCCTCCTGGTTGGACAGAAACCCCTCAAACTGGACAGCTTCAGGGAAGCAAATCACTCTTGGCTGCAGTGTAAGACGACTATACAGTTGACCAAGAAAAACACAGAAATACCCTGAGGCAATGAATTCCTGGGGCCAGAAAACAGGACTATTTCATTCCCTTAAGACATGATGCTAGTATTAGTCAGACATTTCCAGGATTTACCCTTTGCGGGGAAATACGTTGAGCCCATTGCAGGAAACTTCTCTAAGAGGAACAAGTTGTAAGCATATTCACTGCATAAATAAAGCTTTTTATCTTTCCAGCACAGGAGATTGAACCCAGGATGCTCTACCACTGAACTATGTCCCTGCCTTTTTTTTGCGACTGAGTCTCACTAAATTGCATAAATTGAACTTGTGATCCTCCTGCTTCAGCCTCCCTAGCAGCTTGGATGCTAGACAGGTGTCACTCTGCCCTGCATACTAAAGCTTTTGAATTGCACTAAGGGAAGGCTCCCTTTACAATCCTTGTTACCTCTTCAATGACTGGAATTGTGGAAATAGTTGTGGAGAGTGGGTACTTAGAAATGAGATTGTAAAAGAATTTTTCACCAGCATTGTGGATGGGCAAAGATCACAAACTTACCTTTCACAGTTCTTTGGGTCATCTCACACTGGTTAGATCAGTATTTCCTTCTGAACAATAGGTTGCCTAGCTGTTGAAGTTCAGTCTTTTTGTATCATAGGTGTGTAACATAATTTTGAGAGCACTGAAGAGTGTAGAAAACACCTTGTAGGGAATACTGATATATTAATTTTTAGGTAGTACTAGCTGTAATCCTAAAATTTGTGCAAGCTAACACAGGGGAATTTTCTGAAAGCAAATTGGCTGTAGGGTGGAAAGATGGAAAGACTCTATTCTGAGGCCTAAGTTGATAGGGTCTCCATCTGCTAAATATGACTTTCAAAGTCACCCTGGGCATACAGCTTTAGTGGCCAGTGTATGACAGGGGTACACAGAAGGTGATATTGAAGGTTTCTATGGGCCAAACCTGGAAGTGGTGTGAATCATTTTAGCCACAGAACTTGGGCACTTGGCTCCACATAAGTCCAAGGAAAGCAAGAAAAATGGAGTCTATTATCCATTTCACTTTTTGTCACAAATCAACAAAATCCTCCCAACAAGAAAGATGTCCTAAGTTCTATCCAATCATTCCAGACCCTAGAATCTCTAAGGAATTCTATGTGTCTTCCATATTCTTGTGATCCAAGTGCCTGTAAACTAAATATCACTGACAGGTGCATGTGCACACACACACACACACACACACACACACACACACACACACACTATACAGTGAGAACAGAAATAAAATAACCACACAAAAACTACTTTGCATTTTTAGGTACACTTTCCAAGCTGTATTACTGTAGCTTTTTTCTCTCTCTTTTTTCCTATTATCTGCCTTTTATTTTGTACTTTATTTATATATTTTTTCATGTAAGAGAAACTATGCAATATTTAAGAATGTGCATCAGATTTATTTCATTTAATGTTATAGTTTCAATGGTATTTAAAAGTGTACTTTGACCTATTATAGCTGGCTTATGTGTTTTATCTGCTGTTTGATCTATTAGTCTGGTTTTTCATCTGTGTATATGATAATTAGCTTTGTAAGATCTTGTAAGGTGAATAAATGAATCCAATGCTGGCTAGATAAAAAGGGAATAGAGGGAAGGGGAAAAGAAGAATTGAAATGTGTATGTATACATATAATTAATGTAATTGTGTACTTTAAACAGGTACTAGTAAAAGTAAAGAGAAAGAGAGGGAGATAGAGAGAGAGAGAAAACTAGAAAGTATGGAGGATACTGAGCAGTCATGAGAATACAGCAATGATAGAATCCTGCTTGACAGGTTTCTGACAATCCCTACTCCGCAGACACAAACTTTCTTGACTTGACCCTGATTCTTGTATCAAGGAACTTAGGCAGAGGCCAATTTTTCTTCATGACTCCTTGTCCATCACAACCTCCTTGGTTGCATCAGTAATGGGTGTTGAAAAATCTGCCCTCTTAATGGTTGCACAGTTGCCAAGATTTGTTCCTGTAGGCTTAAGTTTGAGAATCCAAAGATTGCCTCAAGCTCAAGTAGAAAAACCTATTTAATTTGGGTTTATGATTCTTTGTTTGTATTTCTTTAGAAATAAAAGAAATATTATGAGATAGAAATCCAATTAGCTCTATACATTGTTACCTAGATATGATTTTTTAATTTATTTTATTTTTTTTTAAATTTTATTTAAAGAAAGACTAAACAAAACAGAAACGATGTAGGAATAGTACATACGTTCAGAAAAAAATAAACAGTAAGAAATCACTAGTTGATGTTTACATATTGTCGTTTTACAAATAGTCATTCAAAATACAAAAATGGAACATGTAAAGTGGGACTATAGATATGATTCTTAAATCTGATATGTCTCTGCTTTCTTGAAGTTGCTTGACTTTTAATTTAATGTCAACTATCTTGAGGTCATCAAACTCAGACAGAGAAGCAATACCTCTATTCTGATTTTTGCTATGAATCTATACCTTTTCCCAGGTATTTGCACATGCTCAGCAAGAACTTTACTACTTAGCTACATTCCAAGCCCCATTATCTAAATCTTCATTGGATCTCAATGGACCATTGTGACTTAAAATTCTTTCTCATTTTTATTTCATACTGTTTGGGGTCTAGATTTTGGTGACTTTTAAAATCTGTTAATGTCCAAGTGTTCTAATTACTTTTATCATTCCTAAGACAAAATACCAGATATTCAAAGTTAAAAGAAGAAAGATTTATTTCAGCTCACAGTTTGTAGAGGTTCAGTCCATAGTCAACTGACTCCAAGGCTGGGTAGCATAGCAGAGGGGCATCACTAAGAAGAAACAGTCCATGGTAAGTGAGCAGAAGACAGGAAAGCAGCAAGCCTGCCTTCCATCTCTCCCTTCGTATTCCATCCAGGCTGTTCGCCTGATGATTGGTGCCACCCACATCCAGGATGGAGCTTCCATTATCCACACTCAGAACTATGCTAATTCTAATCAATGTACAAATTTAGTTCCACATACACTTAATTCCAGTATCAAATGCCCTAAATGTAGCCAGCTCCAGAAAGCCCTAGGTATGAGCATAAGTACGAGCTACAATACTAAGTATCTGGATTCTACATTTCTTCTTTATTTCTTCTTTCAAAGGAAAAAATCTTTGTCTGAACTCATCTCTCTTGACATTTTGATATATGCAGGCAGTCATAATCAACACATCTATTAATGTGATATTTTCCAAACATTTTCTTTAAAGTTACAAGATTGTTATATACTTGTTCTTCCTGCAACATGAGCTTTAGGACACTTGCGATAAGTCTTTTGCCACTGTAAGTCATGGATTTTATAGTAGGCTAACTTTCCAACATTCAATACCGCCACCTACTAAAACAATGTCATAAAATTAAATTGGGCTATTTACTCCATTTACATTTGGTGTAGTTAATGATATATTGGTGCTTTATCTATCATTTTGCCATTTATTTTACATGTGAAACATTTATTCCTTTTGTTTCTTTTCCTATCTTTTAATAAAGTTAATCAGATCTTTTATGACTCCATTTTCCCTTAACCTGAAAGTTAAGCATATTTTCCTATTCATTTAGAGATCACTTAGAGGTGGAAACTGTATCTTTAATTTACATCCTAGCACAATTAGCTATCTTTACTATTTTTCATATAACGTTAAATATTTAGAAAAATTTAATTCAGTTACATCTTTCCAAATTTTTGCACTAATTAATATGCAAGATTTTCCCAGCTCTTGGATATTAATTCTATATATATATTATACAATTAATATTTAGTAAAATTCATTTATATGGGCCTACTGACAGCATAATTTCTGTTGCTTTTTTTTTTCTTTTAGTACTGATTATTGAGCCAGGGCCTTGCACATGTGAGGAAAGTGCTCTGTCACTGAACTATATTCCTACCACTGCTCTATATTTCTTTTTGCAATTATGGAATTTTCACTATCCATTGAAAGAGTTTTCCTTCTATATCAAGAACTTACTTTAATATTTCTCTTATTAAGGGCTTGTTGGCAATGAACCTTCATTTTTTTTGTTCTGAAAATACCTTTTGTACTTCTTTCAATTTTTGAAGAATATTTTTAGAGGTTAGGATGATGGATTGGCACTTACCTTTCTTTCAGAATTTCAAAAATGTTATTCAATTATTTTCTGATGTTATTGTACTTATTTTTCCTCCTTTGAAAGTAACATGTGGAGTCCTGGGAGCTGAAGGTGTGCAAGATGATTTCCAGCGCACACAGCAGAAGCTTTGGAGCATCACTGCCAGTGGGTAGACCCCACTCAGTGTCCTAATCACCAGAGGATACATGCAAGGTCCCATGGATCTGACTGGGCCATGCCCAGCGACCTCCATTCAGTCCTGGGAGCTGAAACCAAGCGAGGTGATTTCCAGTGCTTGTGGGGAAGTTTTGGACCATCACTCCCAGTGGGTAAGACCCTGCCCAGCATCCTAAATCACCACAGGACACACAGGAGGTCACCATTGGCCTGGCTGGGCCACATCCAGCAACCTCCACTTACTCATGGGAGCTGAAGGCAAGCGAGGTGATTTCCCAGCATCCTGAATCACCAGAGGATGCATGGGAGGTCCTGCAGGCCTGACTGGGCCATGCTGAGTGACCTCCATTCAGTCTCAGGAGTCAAAAGTGCATGAGGTGATTTCAGGGGCACACTGGGAAAGGTGTGGAACATTGCTCAAAACCCAGAAATATAGAAAAACGACAAAACAAAAGACCCAAAATGCAATCTCAAAATTCCATCCCATCCCAAGCAAGCCTAGAAGACATGGAAATAGAAGAAAATGTAAGCCATACACCTGAAATGCCTGAAATGATAACAACTGAAGTAAAGAAACAACTCTGGGAAGCTATAAAAGAACTCAAGTCAGAAATACTCTGCCAGGTAAAACAAAAATGGTAAATGTAATGAAAGAAATTCTGTACACATCTAAAGAAGACATAGTTAAAAATTAGAGGAACAATGCAAAAAGATGGAAACCCTGAATGAACAATATAAGAAACAAACACAATGCATGAAATAGATTCAAAGAGATATACAGGAAATTAAAATTTCATTGAAAGTTGGCAAAACCACCTCAGTGAAAGTGAAGACAGAATTTCAGACCTCTGAGACAAGATTGCAGCTAGTGAACAAGAAAGGAAAGATCTCTTAAAAATAACAAAAAATCAGGAAATAACAATTCAAGAGCTGCAAGATGATGCAAAGAAAAACAACATAATATTGATAGGATAAATGAAAAAGAAGATGACAACACAAATGATATCAAGAGGCTATTTACAGAAGTAAAAGCTGAAAATTTCCCAAACATGAGAATGGAAACTGACATACACATCAGTGAAGCATATAGAACTCCAAATAGCCATAATCAAAATAAAACTACACCCAGACATATAATAATCAATATCCCAGAAATCCAACATAAGAACAAAATATTAAAAGTTGTTAGAAGAGACAGATCACCTATAAAGGAAAGTCTATCAGAATTACAGCAGACTTCTCAACACAAACTATGAAGTCAAGAAGAGCATAGAATGAAGTATTTCAGATCCTAAAGGAAAATAACTTCCAACTCAGATTGATGTACTCTGCAAAACTGTCCTTCAAAATAATGGAGAAATAAGATACTTCCACTACATAGAACAGCTGAAGAACTTCATGACCACCAAACCAACCCTTCACAGAATATTAAAAGACATACTACATAGACATAGGATAAAAACACTAAGCAAGGCAAACAATTAAACAGAGTGGAAAGGTAAAAAACAACAGCAGAAAGATACCATGTCAAAAAAACCCCAAATACATATCAGTTATAACCATTAATGTAAATGGCTTCAATTCACCAATTAAAAAAAACAGACTGGCAGAATGGATCAAGAAACAACATCCAGCCATATGCTGTCTACAAAAAACCCATCTAACCCAAAAGGAAATTTATAGACTGAAAGTCGAAGGAGGGAAAAGAATATCTCATGCAACAGGAACCCCCCGCCCCAAAAGCAGGGATAGTTATTCTGTTTGCAGACAATGTGAACTTCAAGCTAAGAATGATCAAAAGAGATAAAGAAGATCGCTACATACTAGTTATGGGAAAAACTTCAGAGGAAGAGATAACAATTTTAAATATCTGTGCACCAAATTTGAGAGCACTTAGCTATATAAAACAAATATTAACAGAAATGAGAAATCAAATAATCAATAACACAATTATAACAGGTGATGTTAACACGGCATTGACACCAAGGGACAGATCAACCAGACAGAAAATCAGCAAACTGAATCACACCTGTGAATAAATGGACTTGATAGAGTTATAAAGAGTGTTCCACCCAACAACATCAAAATGTATATTCTTCTCAGCAGTACATGGGACCTCTAAAGTAGACCATCTACAAGCCCAGAGAACATACTTAAGTAAATGCAAAAGAATTGAAATTATCCAATGCATGTTATTGTATCATAGTGCCATGAAACTAGAAATTAATGGCAGAAGAAATTGCAAACACCCCACAAATACATGGAAATTGAATAATACACTTCTGAGCAGTCAGTGGGTCACAGAGGAAAATAAGAAATTAAGCAATATCTACAAGCAGAAGAAAATACAAATATAACTTACTGGAATCTGGGGGATGCAATGAAAGTGGTCCTCAGAGGAAAATTTATTGCACTGAGTTCACACATCAGGGAAACAGAATGAACACAAATAAACAACCTGATGCTACACCTCAAACATCTAGAAAAAGAAGAGCAAGTCAAGCCCAAAGCCAAAGAAGGGAGGAAATTATTAAAACCAGAGCAGAAATTAATGCAATAGAGACTAAGAAAACAATACAAAGAATACATTAAAGAGTTGGTTCTTTGAAAGAATAAATAAAATTGATAAACCCCTAGCCAAACTTATTTTAAAAAGAAAAGAAAAAACCTCAAATTCATACAATAAGGAATTAAAAGGGTGAAATCATTATAGACTCTGTGGAAATAGAGAAGATTATCAACACCTATTTTTAAAACCTCTAGTCTCAAAAGTTTGATAACACAGAAGAAATGGACAGATTTCTAGAAACATATGATTTACCAAGATGTAAAACTGCTAAATAATCCAATTTCAATTAATGAAATTAAAAATGTAATTAAATCCTTATCAACAAAGAAAAGCCCAGGCCCAGATGGATTCACTGTGGAATTCTACAAGAAATACAAAGACACTCCTCAAGCTCTCCAAAGAATTTGAAAGGGAAGCAATTATTCCTAACTCATTCCTGGAAGCAAAATATTATTCTAATACCAAAACCTGAGAAAAACCCAACTGAAAAAGAGAACTACAGGCCACTCTCCCTAGTGAACATAGAAGCAAAAATTTTCAATAAAATTTTGGCAAACAGAATGCAGCAAATCATCAAGAAGATTATATACCACAACCAAGTGGGATTCATCCCAGAAATGCAGGGATGACTCAACATATGCAAATCAATAAATGTAATCCACCATATCAATAGAGCCGAAAATAAGAATCACATGATAATTTCTATAGATGCAGAAAAAGCTTTTGATAAGGTCAAACACTTACTCATGGTAAGAACCTTACAGAAAATTGGAATAGATGGTTTTTACCTCAATAGAATAAAAGCTGTCTATGACAAACCAACAGCCAGCATCATATTAAAGAAAGCCTTTACCATAAAATCAGGCACAAGACACTGTGATATCACCATTCCTATTCAATATAGTACTGGAAATGTTAGCTAGAGCAATTAGAAAGGGAGAGAAATAAAAGGAGAAAGGATAAGAAAAGAAGTTAAGTTATCATTATTTTCAGATGACATGACACTCTACATAGAAGACCCCCAAAACTCCATTGAAAGACTCCTAGGTATAATAAATAAATTCAGTAAGGTAACTGGATACAAAGTCAACATTCAAAAATCAATAGCATTCCTATACACTAACAACAAAATCACTGAGAGAGAAACAAGAGAAGCCACACCCTTCACACTAGCATCTAACAAAATGAATACTTAGGAATCAACCTAACAAAAGAAGTAAAAGATTATAGTACCCTGAAAAAAGAAATCGAAGAGAACCTCAGAAAATGGAAAGATATCCCTCATTTATGGATAGGAAGAACAAATATTGTGAAAATGGCCATTCTCCCAAAATTGTTATACAGATTTAATGCAATCCCAATCAAAATATCACTAGCATACCTCATAGATTTAGAGAAACCACTCCTAAAAGTCATCTGGAATCAGAAGAGACCTAGAATAGCAAAGGGAATTCTAAGCAACAAAGGCAAGGCAGGAAGCATCACAATCTCTGACTTGAAGTTGTATTACAAAGCTACTATGATAAAATAAACATGGTACTGGAATAAAAACAGACATAAAGACCAGTGGAATAGATTAGAAGATACAACTACAAACACACTCAGCCATCTTCTGTTTGATAAAGAGGTGAAACACCTTCACTGTAAGAAAGACAGTCTCTTTAATTAAATGGTGCTGGAAAAATGGTACTGGCTCTCCATATGCCAAAAACTAAAACTGGACCCATTCTATCACCATGTGCTAAACTAAAGTCTAAATCGGTCGAAGATCTGAATATTAAAACAGAAACACTAAATCTGTTGGAAGACAAAGTAGGTAAAAATCTTGAAGACATAGGGGTAGGTAGAGAATTCATGAACAAGAATCAAACTGCATGCCAGAATCAGTAACTGGAATCATGTCTTTTAAAGAATTTCTGCATGTTGAAAGCAATCTCCAGCGTAGTGAAAAAAATACCCGCAAATTGGGAAAAAATCTTAGTGAACTGTTCCTCAGACAAAGGACTTCTGTCTAGAACATATAAAGAATTTTTAAAAAATCAGATACCTGAAATTCAAGCACCCAGTCCAATAATGGGCATGTGATATGAATACACAGTTTTCAGGTGAAGAAATACAAAGGGCAAATAAATACACAAAAAAATGTTCATCATCAATAGTCATTAAAGAAATGCAAATTAAAACCACACTGAGATTCCATCTCACTCCAGAAAGAATTGCCAGGATCAAGAAAACTACCACCAACAAATGCTGGAGAAGCTGTGGGGAAAAAGGAACTCTCCTGTACTGTTGGTGGGAGTGTAGCCACTGTGGAGGTCAGTGTGGGGGCTCCCCAAAAAGCTGGAATTGGAAGTCCCATTTGACCAGCTATCCCACTTTTGGGCATATTCCCAGAAGAACTGAAAACATTATACCATAGTGATATATGTGCACTCATCATGTATATAGCAGCACAATTTGTAATAGCCAGATCTTGGAAACAACCTAAGTGCTCATCAACTGAGGAATGGATAAAAAAGT